GCCCACCTAGGGTGCCTGGGCCAAATGTCCACCACCTCTTAGGAGAGCAGATAGCCGTGGCCACTTTCTGCCAAGCCGAGAACCCAATGGAGCTCTTGGCACATGCCCAACCTTGTCATCTCCTATTTCCTTTGTGGGAGATGCTGTGGGGCCTTCGGCATATCTTCAGTGCTGGCTCATGTCTTGTTTGCCTGCAGTTAATATTAGCACCCATCCTGAGAATACAAAGGTTTGTGTGCATTTTCAGACCAAGAGCAAAGCGGGTCAGTCTTCCTTGGAGATAGCCGAGGAGAGGCATCGTGTCAAGGGCAGGGCTGACGGGGACAATTTCTGCTGCGGGAAGGGGTGTGCATGGTCACAGGACTAGGACAGAGAAGTGAGCTCCCAGAGAAAATGCCTGGAAGGAAGCTTTCCACAAACCTCAACACCTTCTGCATCTTTCTCTGTCCTATGCTTCTTGGCAGGAGGCCTGGTGGGCACTATGAGGGGACAAATGATCTTTCAGTTTTAAAGTGAAGCACTCTTTCTACCGATAAGATGCAAAGAGCCTATTGGAGAAACAAATTCTATTTATATACATAGCAATAGAAGGGACTCAATGATGAGCTCCCAAAATGCACTAATACTGGTACATGTTTATTAATTTTATCCCTTCTCTTTTGCCTCAAAACTAATTGTCCATAAATATAACACATTCCCCAAATCCTAGTTATATCAATTCCTCCAATTTCCACTCATGTTCTTTCTTCTGTTCTTCTACTTGGATTTTGGATTCAACATTTTTAAAAAACTGCATTCACACTGATGTTTACCCTTTTTCTTTCTGAACTGTAGATCATGTTCAAATTAAGAGAGATAATTTAAAATATGGAACTTGAAATGTGAATATACTGAGCAGCAGACAGTGGCTATATGATAGAAAGGCATATGGACCAAGATAATTGGGAAATGGGGGTGGGGAGCACAAAAGTCTAAGGGAAAGAAATAAGCTTTGGCTCAGCCCAAATATTAATTTCAAGCCAAAGAAGCTGGCCTAGCCTCAATTCTACCCTTGGTTGGACACAATTTATGATTGGTGCATTCTCAAAAAAGGGGGAAAAAGTCTCATCCCCAGGATGAGAATCTAAGCATCTATTTTCCATCCCAGTGACAATCAGAAATCATTCTTTGCATTTATTTTTCAGCATTGTATTTGCCTGTGAACAAAACTGAAGCTTGCAGAAGATGGTTCATGTGAACTACTCAAACAACAGTTTCTCATTGTGTTGAATTACACTGAGACCGCTTGCTGTGAAATCCTGCCACGGCCCAGTAACAGTGGAAGGCATTGCCTCTTTTTTCCTTGCACGACCATGAAGTTAACCCACTTCTCTTCTACAGAAATAAACTCACGGTGCTTTCTAAAGTGAGGGAGAAAAGCTCTCCAGCTAAACATTTACCTATAGCTTATTAATATTTTAGGAATCAAAACTCAGTGTATGTTTCTATTTTCCAGTCTTCTTTTGGCTTCCCTAGATTGGATTTCAGTCACTTCTGAATGTTTGGAATACCTCTAGTAGCCAACAAAGCAAGAAACTGTGGAACCACAGGCTTAGTTAGAAATAGTTTCATCTAACTTTGAAAAGTTATCTAGCCCAGAAAGGTAATTGAGAGCCCAAAATAATTCCAAAGGCTCTGCAGGCATTTACCGTATGATAACTGACAAATGTCTAAATTCACCACCCACCACTAGAGAAGGGCAGGATGGAGTAGGCCCCAGCCTGGAAGGGGAGGCTGCAGCATTTCTCTAAGGCAATATCTAAGGTCACCTGGCCCAGGTGTTGGGTGGGGTTTAAGGTCCATTTGCCTTTCTCTTCAAGAGATGTTGGTTGTCCCTTTCTGAGGCTGGTTGGAAGAAGGGACATGGCAGATCTTAGGAGGTCCCCTTCCTTCTACCTGCTCTCACCAATTCAAGGTGAGGTGAGTTCAGGTTCAGTTCCTGCCACCTCCCTGCTATGAGTTCAGAAAAGCCATGTGCTGCTGTTTCTGATGAGCAAAGGGGTTGAAGCAGCCCAGATTTCCTTGTGTGTGGGATTCGGCTGAAATACAGAAGCTAAACGTCTGAGCATCAGCATGTGGTACAGATGCAAAGACAGTTGCTCTTCATCTGCTTCTCCCTTTGCATGGCCAACCAGGGGACTGCCAAGTAGAAGCACTTGGTGCTCCTGAACCCCTTACCCTCCCTGGAGCCCTGATCTCTGAGTAAAGACAGAGCTAGCAAAGAGGGAAGGGACTGAATACGCTCATTTCTTCCTTCTGACTGTTGCGAGGCTGAAGCCTTACTGCCTCTAGGCGGCCTCTGATGATTCTTAAGGCTTCTGAAGCAGCACTGTTTTCATGGCTGTTTAGGGTTAATTATAGGAAGAATTTACAATCCTAATTTTAAATCCTCTCTGGTGCCGAATGTGTTCGATTTCTTTAAAGAATCTAAATTTTAAAACCTAAAGTAAATGGTCAAATTGGAGGGGGGGGTGGTAAAAGTCTGCCTCCCTCTCAGACTGCACAGAAGCAATGTGGTAAAGGGTAGAGGGCTAGGCTTGGATTCCAGTCCTGTCCCATCTTAGTTGTGCGACATCAGACTAGCCACTACCCCTCTCTGAGTCTGTTTCTAAAAAAGGAACAACATGAAGCCACCCTCCCCAGCAGACAGGCCACCAGGTGATGAGTGAGATAATATATAAGTAGTTATTAAGAACCTGGGATGTGATGGTGGACATACTGATGAAAGGCTGCCCTTTGAAACCTTTACTGGATAATTGACATTGGTCAGGTCAAACTTTCAGGACGTCAGTTTTCTCATCTGTAAAACAGGGCTGATGCCGTGGCATCTAGTTTAGAAGATTTTTGCTAGGATCAAATCATAAAAGTGAAGCGCTAAGAAGCTCTGTGCCTGGCAAGAGCAAGAACAAAATAAGCATTAGCTCCTGTTATTATGAAGTATGGAGATAAAGGCTTGAGGACTTTAATGCACTGTGAATGACATTTCAATAGCAATAGGATCCCTGCTCAGAGAGAAGTTGAAAATCTCAGCGTAGCTCTGCATCTTGCAGTGACAGAGGCAGGAAACACAGCTAGCTCATCGAGGGTCTTCTCAGGATGAGGGACCTCAACAATGCCAGAGTGATGGGTAGGGACCAGGTCTGAGACTGAAGACTCCATAGCAAAGCTGGATCTAGCAATGGTGGGGGCTGGGGTAGGACTCCAATGACTGGGAAGGACATAGCCAGTGAGGTCACAGGGTGGGGAGGATGGAAAAGACCTGTGGAGGAGCAATTCAGATAAGAGGTGGCCTAGATGGGAGTGGTGGGGATCTCAAAGCAACACCAAACCTGGGTGAGATCATGTCTGGACCCACAAAAGGATGAGGCAGTTTATATTCAAACAGCATGGGCAAATAATACCCCTACCACTACACTGTCTATTCTCAATCAAGTTCTTTGGGAGAAAGTAAAAATTATGGTAGTATTAATTGCTATACACTTAATTTTTTTTTTTTTAATTTTCGACACAGGATCTCACTAGGTCCCTCAATTTGCCCAGGTGGGGCTTGAACTTGTGAACCTTCTGCCTCAGCCTTCCAGAGTGCTGGGCTGACGCTGGGACACAGGAGCCCAGGAAAGTGAATCATTTTCCTTTACACATTACCAAGGAAAGGCTTTCTGAAGGATCGCTTGGGCCTCCTAACTCCCTAGGCAGAAGTTGCTGAGTGTTTCCTGGTACCTGTCCAGTTCCCTAGGAGCTTTAAAGGGCCGTGGCTGGGCACTAGGAGATCCTATCCACAGTGCGCTTTGCCCAGACTCCTGGGAAATGCTGAGGCTGAGGGCTGATGACGGCGCTGCCCGCGGCCGGGCATTCAGGCCAGGGCCCAGCACGATGGCCGGGACCACAATGCCAGGAGGGGGCAGCTGGCCGATCCTTCACACCCCACTCCTCCTCGCTCCCGAAGAGCTCCAGGCAGTTGAAGGGCTGGACAAGGCCCTCTGCTGGGGTCGCTGCAACTGTGCAGCCCCCTGGATCCGGCGGATGGGGCGACCTCCAGTGTGCGAGGCTCCTACTGGATTAATCAAATTTCCACTGTGCTGTGTTTCAGCTCCTTTCGCCCCTTTGGTGCTGCCGATCTCGGGAGTGGAGGCCGGGACCGGCAGGAGAAGCCCCAGGCAGCTCTGACCTCTGGCAGAGCCCCAAACCCCAGGGCGCAACATCTGGCTTCAGAATTCCCGGGTCAAGGGGAAGCGTGCACGCCAGCCCTTCCTGGGTTCTCAGTATTGTCTCTCGGTTCCTGGAAGCAACCTTCCCTCTCCATCCTAGTGCCAATGCACTAGGTCGTAGCTCCCTCCCCCGAGGGGGGCTGCGTTCTACGCCCTGGGTGCCCCGCTTGAGCACCGCGCACAGTGCCCCACAGCGCCCCCTAGGGGCCGGGCAGCGCCTCCCTACTCTTCCCCTTCCGACCCCGACTCTGCGCTCCGCTAGGATCCCGCCTCCCTCCAGTTCTCCCGGCGGCCGGACCCTACCCTCCCCGGCCGCGCTTAGCGCCCGGAGCCCTCCCCTCCGCGCCTCTCCTGGGGCGCCCGGGCCGCAAGGAGCGCGCGGCCGGGCACGGCGCGGAGACCGGGCCCCGGGCCGGGGCAGAGGAGCAGCGGCGATGGCAGCGGCGGGCGTCCGCGGGAGGCGAGGCGGCGGCGGGCGGCGCGAGGAGCCGCTGTGATTGGCACAGCCCGGGCCGGCGGAGGAGGCGCGGGGAGGGCGGCGGGGAGGCGGAGGCGGGGGGCGCGCGCGCGGCGGCGGCGGCGAGAAGCTGTGCCTCCCCCGCTCGAGCGCCTGCAGGCAGGCAGGCAGGCAGGACGGGGGCGGCCGCCGCGGGCCCGGGGCGGGGACAACTCGCAGCCTCGCTCCGCGCACCCCCGCCCGGCAGCGGCCGCGACACCCGGGGCGAGCGGGAAAGCGGCGGCGGCGGGGGAAGGATGCAGGGCAAGAAGCCGGGCGGCTCGTCGGGCGGCGGCCGGAGCGGCGAGCTGCAGGGGGACGAGGCGCAGAGGAACAAGAAGAAGAAAAAGAAGGTGTCCTGCTTTTCCAACATCAAGATCTTCCTGGTGTCCGAGTGCGCTTTGATGTTGGCGCAGGGCACGGTGGGCGCCTACCTGGTGAGTCCCCGGGCCAACTCCGCCACGGACCTCTTCCCGGCCGGGCTCGCGGGCTGCCGGCCGGCACGAGGAGGGGCAGGCGGGCAGGACCTCGGCCCGCGGGCGCGGAGCTTGGCGAGTGGTGCAGCGGGGGAGCTGCCGGGCGAGCGGCAGCGGGCGGGACGTGGATGCCGGCGGCGGCGCGCGCGCCTGGCGGGGCTGGGGGTGCCAGGGCGGAGGGGGGAGGCAGGCGGCGGGCAGGTGGGCGTGCAGCCACTTCTCTCCCCTTCGAAAGCGGGGCCAGATGGTGAGTTCGCGAGCCTCCTTGGAGAGGAAGGCATCACGGCTTTCAGGTGACCTGCACATGGGAAGAAAAGCCAGTTAGTATCCTGTGTCCTCTACTCTCCATTCCATCCGCCTGGAGAACAAATCCATTATGCATCATTTTCTCTGAGCTCTTTCTCCATCCGCCAATTACAGCTTAGAGTAAAAGGGCCCGAGGGTGGCCCTTACCTGAGCCGCAGCGCCAGGGGGAATATTCCAATCCACATTCCAAGAGCCCTCTTTCAGCGTCTGGGAGAAAGGAGAAAGTTAGAGTACCTGGAGAGCGGCTGAGAGTTTGTGTAGTTCCTGCTGCCCACTGTTAGAGCTGAATTCCCCACTGTAGTCCCTCACCCACTAGAGGGTTGCATCATTGTGCACAATTTGTATCTATTTTATTCACTTCCAGAAAATGCTTACTGGTGCTCAGCCGGCCCATGGGTCTCCAGCATATCAGAGGGAAAGGCTTGTAATGACTCAGCACTGTCAAGCGTCTACTTTGTTGCTTTCTCCTGCCCCGCTCAGGTGGTCCCAAGTTGAGTTCTACCGCCTGCTTTTCAGACTTGTCCTGTTCGACAGGAAAGACGTTTCAGAGTTGATAGTGTTAAATCATTACTTGGCTATTGACTTGAAACTGGAATTAAATGTCATAGACTTTGAGTGTTAGGCAGGAAGTTTGAAGGAGATAGATTCAGACAAGATTTGTGCTGTTGGAAAACCACATCCAGTGATAGAGACGCGCATCCTTATGTTATCATGAATCCCTCGTTCTTGGCCTCGGGTTAATGTTAATGAGAGCCGTAGCCGCAGCCGAGAGCCTTACACCGTTCCTACACAGTCTCTCAGGGGTCCTGCTGTTGAAGGGAAGGAGTAAACCGTGCTTATTTGGTCTCTGGGGTTGGGTACATGCGTTATATGGTTTTGAGGGGGCTCCGCAAACACAGCTGTGATCCTGGGGTGACAGAATCACAGTGCTCTTGGAAACCAAATGCATTTCTTTTGCTCCTGAGATGAAAGGGTTCAGTCCCTGTCTCTGCCCTGTGCATGCATAACTTGTATGCTGCAAGCATACTCTGGAGCCAGAAGCACATTTTGTTTTCTATTTTATAAAATATTCTCATTTTGTCGATAGTTAATAATGCACACTTGCAGATAGTGCCTATGGACTTTGTAGTTTTGGTGATAAGGGACAAGTGTTTTGTGGGTCAATTTATTGGCACATCCTTCGGAAATTTGACGAAATATTTAGACAGTTACCAACATGCAAAAAGCTCATGAATGAAATATATGTGGATGGATCTGTACTATAGCATATACCTAACTGGGTCTGTAAAAGGAAGTAATTAGTGTATCAGCAGCTGCCAGTTTAACAGTTTGTTTGCCTCAGACTAACTTTTGCTTAATAGAGTGTATTATTCACATGTGGCAAACGACAGCAGAACTTTTAATCCCAGGAATGACGAAGGCATGGGCTTATAATTTTTTTTTTTTTTTGCTTGCAATCATCCAAGGATTTTAGAAGAAAGTGAAACGGAACTTCAACCAGATGAATGACCTGACTCTTAAAATGTTAAGATGCATACGCAGTGCCCCTTCAGGGGGAGACTTCTCTAGGCTGGGCTGGCTTCAAGAGAGGAGAGGTTGACTTGGATACCCAAACGGCGGGACAGCAGCAGGCAGAGGAGGAATTCCATCCACCTGGTGGTGGCATGGCATCCTGGCACTTCTGGCCTTGGTTAATGGAGAAAACCCGATTGGGTAGAGTAGGGTAATAGGAGTCAAAAAGTCCCTTGCAGAAAGGAGATGGAGGCCCAGGAGAAGAGAAGGCTAGGAAACTGAATTCACTTTGATCACCAGGAATGGAGGCATCCGGTTCTTAGGGCAGTGCTTTGGCTGGCTGCCCTTGGCCTTACCTGGCCGCCTGCACCTCATGAAGGTCAATAGGTGGCTGGCCAGGGTGGACTGAGTCAGCTTGCTATGGGCTTTATTCTCCTGGACCACCTGGTAGTTCTCTCTTCATCTGTTGTTTGGGAGGTGGAAAAAGCAAGTTTGTTGTTCTTTCAGCTGTGAGAGACTTTTCTGTGGATAATTAAGAAGGGACTATTGCAGAATGTTTGCAGAAAGGTACATCTTCTGTTTAATTTGTCATGGTTTTCCTAACAGACCTGAAGCCTCATGTCCTAGGTGATCACACAGGCTGGGTTCATGTGCAAAGTGTGTATGGTGTGTGTGTGCATGTGCTCTTTACATTGGCAACCAGCCTGGCCCTGTGATGAAGTCTTTTCAGATACCTGATGAAGGCTTACTGAGACTTTGCCAGTGCTACTTGATATCATGGAGAGGAGGCTGGTTACAAATTCAACACCAATAATATTATAAAGTCCATGCAGCTACCTTATTTTCTCTTGCCAGATGCTATTCTTTTAATATTGGGAAATCTAATTTCATTTTTCCCTTTTTCCCTCTGAAAGGGGAGATCATGTACTGCTCTCAATGACACTCATAGAGGCTTTCCAAATCCTAAATTGAAGCGGGAAGCTGCCTGTGGTTTGGGAAACAGCTTTGCAAAGGATGACGTGGTTTATTTGAATGTGTTTTCCTTTAAAAACCTGCCCAGGGAGGGAGGTCAAGGGAGAACTGCATATAAAAGGAGCTACTAATTCTTAGGCTAGGCTGGGGCCTGCAGCTCTCACCTAGGTGGCAGGGCTTTCCAGGGGTGTGCAGGACATTGATCCTGACAGCCAGACTCAGTGATGCTATTGATAAGATGATACAGATAAGAAAATCCCAGTGCAATTAGGTCAGCTGTGGATTCTGAAATCTGTTATAGTGGCAAGTGTCTTAATTAGAAACCATACTTCAGGTAAGCCAACAGTTAAAAGGATGTTCTGTCACAGTCATTTAAACTGCTTGGCTATGATATAATTTCTCCAGCATAAGAAGAGAGACCCATTCAATTTGAAAGTCACTGTGCATGGGACAGAAAATACAATGTGAGAATCTTGGAGGTGGGTCTTTGCTTTGGGTGGCTGCAGTCTAAACTGACCTATTTGCAACTATGTAACAGCTGTATAAGTCTTAGACTCTTTGGAGGAGGTGCAGGCATATGCGAACTGCATGGAGAGAGAGAGTCATTTTGTATGCACTTTATCTAGGCTCTGTAGAAGCACTGAGATGTTTCAAGCCATTCACAGAGGGCAGCCCTGCATAGAAAGCCTTGTGTTATCAAATTGCGGAGGACTAGAGCAGATAAGGATGTGAACAGGAAATTAAAACTGCTGACACCTCTGGACAGTTACAAGGAAGGCTCCTGTACAAGTGCATTCAAATTTCCTCAGCCTGAAACTGCAAACAGGCCAGCGTAGCCTCAGGGGTTGGACATGCAGGCACCTTTCTGAAGCAGGGCTGGGCATTTCCTTATTTTGGGCTGTGCCTTTAGAAATGTGCCTGAGTTTGCTGTGGCCAAGTAAGGATGTAGAGGACTGAGTGTGGTTAACACTGCTGCATCTCACTGCGTTGTAGTCACTTATTTTTAGGTCTGAGAACATTCAGTGAGCTTGCAATGAATGGGTGAGGTGAAGCTGCTGGATTGTTACTCCCCCCCCCCCCCCCCGTAAAGAAGCATCATTTTGAAGATGGGTATTCAGCCCAGAAGCAGGCAGCTGTGAGACATTTTTTAAATCCTTGTCAAATTAGTATGATGACTAAGGTAACTGCATTTTACTTAATCAAATTATTTTATACACTTACGGTTACTCCAAATGACAAATTCCCTGCCATTTGCATAATTATTATATAGCCCCAGGTAGTAAGAAATACAACTACTCTTTCCTTTTTTTTTTCTTACAGCTTGGTTTAAGTTGTTTAATAATCATTAAGGGGAAAAATGTATTTCTGATAATTTCTTTCAGCCGGTTTTGTGTACATACCTTTGTTTCTTTTGGGTTTTTGCTGGCGTGTTTAATAATAGAAGAAACTAAATTAGTTGTAAAGTGGGTTAGACCTGTTTCCTGGGTTTGGTTAACTCTTCCTCCATTTCTGCTTTAGACACCTGATAAAAAGGATGACCCGAGGTCCTGTCCACAGAGGTGCTGCCTGGCTAATCAGCTGCTTGGCACTGGGGGCTCATCTTCCCTCCCCCGGCCCAGAGCTGTTCTGTGTCATGGTGCCTGAGTGGCACGGGGGGCGGGGGGCAGCTCCAGTGGGAAGCGCCCTCAGTTTACACCATGTGATCAAAAATGTGGTGAATATTTAAATGAAAATAAAACATTTTTTACAGCAAAAGACACATTGCTATTAATCCCCCTCAAAATACTCCCCCTTGCTCCATACACACTTATCCTATCATTCTTGCCACTTTCTAAAGCACTTCTGGAAGTGGCTGCCTTGATGTACTAAACTGATGCAAACATTTACAACAATTTCTGTCAAATAAAAACACTGTACTGTGTCCTCATCCCCTTTATTCTTCAGATCTGGCATGATGTGACTTTTGGCTCTTCTGCCAAGTTTAAATGACCATGAGAGGTAAACATTGAATTGATTCATGACATCGAGGCAGCCATGACAGCACAACTAAAGACACTCTCTCAAGAGGACTTCCAGAGCTGCTTCAGGAAGTGGCAAGGATGAGGGAATAAGTGTGTTCGAAGCAGGGAGGAGTATTCTGAGGGGGATTCATGCAATGTGTCTTTTCCTGT